TTTTTTTTTTTTTTTTTTTTTTTTTTTTTTTTTTTTTTTTTTTTTTTTTTTTTTTTTTTTTTTTTTTTTTTGTAGTTAGGAAAATATAGAAGAAAAAAGAAATATAAGACAGTTAAATCTCATATACACTCATAAACACACAAATTTTCCTAAAATTACGAGAAAATTAAAAACTATTCAAAACTAAGGAACGTCTAAATCTGAAAAAAAGATGGATTAATTTATTTTTTTTTTCAAAACCAAGCTTTCAAATAACTTTAATATTTAATCGAATTTTAAAAATTTAAAACTTCATACCACAGATACTTTATATTTTGAAAACATTTAAAATAACAGGATAATAAAATCTCATACACATTTGTTTAACATTAAAAATATATCTAAAACTTAGAAAATGAAAGAGAAAAAAAAAAACTTAAAATTTAAAACTTTTTCCAATCAAACTTTTTGAAAGGAAAAGACCAGAAAAGCATTCTCAAATGAAATAGCAATCCATCACTCCTTAATTGAAGGACTAAAACTATATATTATATATAAAAGGAAATAGAAACAACAAGCTGCTTTACTACAACAAGCTACATCTCAAAGCCCTTCCATGGCCACATATACTATCATAATCTCTTCGAATTTGCCATAGACGTCTCTCGAGTTCGATGATAGGACAGATCTGATTCTATTTCCTGTCGAACCAATCGGCAAAAAGAAGCGTAAGTTTGTAAGAGAAAGAGAGCCATGGTTGATGCCTTCATAAGAGCAGTTTGAAAAGAACCAATGACTAAGTTACTAACCTCCTGCTCTTGGCAGTAGGGGCGATTATTCCTCTTTTCTCTAAGCTCTTAAACCTGTCCTTCACAAGGGTGCAGCAGCCCTATATTTATACAACAGAACCAACCACGATGTTCTTTCAGTTTCACATCTAAATTTCAGAAACAATAATTTCGATTGAGAGGAGTATTCAGGAAAGATGGATATGGAAATTAAATGAATGCACCTTCAGCTTACGGAGTGATCCAGTTATTTCCTCGGATAGGAGAACTTGAACTGGCGCGGGCTCGAACCTGAAAGTAACACCATGCAGTTCAGGACACAAACTTTCTTGATGTTATCTTGTTTCAGCACGAATCAGTTTATTTCAGAGGCTCATTGGATTACATTCTTGTTTTGTGTTTCATATTTTTAGAACCATATGTTTGCTAATTGTTCCTGTTTCTTGTTACTCAATTTACATAAACATTAGTAGAAATTTTGAAAACAAAAAACAAGAAATGGTTATTAAACATTTTTGTGTTCTTTTTTTTCAATAAAGAAAAGAAAGAACAAGAGACAAGAACAGTTTAAGAGGTAACAAGAAACATGAAGTGGAAACGAGAAACAAAAAACAGAAGACGTTATCATACGAGCCCTAAATCTTTCAATCGAGATACTAGAAAGAACTATTTATGGATTGGGAATACGAGCTATATCACTATAGTACTACATACTTGTGCTTTCCCAAGCGAGGTGGGCATGACTTTAATCTCTCCTGTTTGGCTATAGTTCGTCGCATGCGTCTCTTATCTCTCTCCTCGTCCTCCTTGGCTATTTCTTGAATGATATCCGGCAAGCTACACCCACAAGAGCAAAAGCTCAGTTACATAAAACGTTCCATAACTATGGAGGACAAAAGATACTAATTTACCTGTCTATGTCTTTAGAAATCCCCTTCAACTTCTTTGCTTCGGCTTCCTTTTTGGCCTGTTCTTTGTGTCTAGCTCTCTTATTGAACTCAACTCGAGTCACCCTTCTCATCTTCAAAGGCCTGTGTAACAAGCTTAATTTGTTTAGACAATAACAACTTGAAGTTCTCTTTTTCAAGATATTCAGTTTAAGAGCAATTATTATTGACAACAGAAAAACATAGAAAGAATAGAAAGGAAAACTCTCAAACTAGTAGCTAGCTAAAGAATAGGGTCGCTGTGGAAAGAAAATGGCCAAGGCCCACATTGATCTCTACTCTACCCAATCCCAACGTCTCCCGTAACCTTTCTATTCCTTGAAATACTAGAACGTCAGTGAACAGAATTCTTGAAACATTTTAATCACTTCATAAAATAACGCAAGATAGAGAGATAAACGATCAAGGGCATACGATCGGAATGCATATGTAGGCAAGATCTGTTCAATCCCAATCCCAATCCCAATGAAGAACATAAGCCTTTAAGTTCAAATAGATCCACACAGTAAATCAATAGGGTACGCTCAAATATAGCGTGAACCATGCATAAGAAAGCCAAAAAATTGATCCAAACTACTTCAAAAAATCTGCAATCCTTAAAATAATTTAAACTCCCATAAATGAAACCTTTTTTCTAATTCATTATTTTCGTCCTGATCCATTTCATCCAAATTGGTTTCATCATCAGAGTTATTATCAGCATCCAAAAACAACATCTGCAAAACAGGAATTGAAGATAATCTCTTAAATCAAGGAAAGCAACTAAAAAAGGAAAAATTAGATTTTACATAATAGAAAAAGCATTCCGATAGAGTACAAATTATGGGTCAATATACTCACATCTTCTTCACTAATAGCTTCTCCTGGGACTGTTAAAGGAACTGGCGCAGGCCCCAGCTCATTACGGTAAACTTTCTGCATTTCTTCTGCAACAGCTTGGGCAAGTACATCCTGAATCATGAAATGGGAAATTTAAGGGGAAAAAACAGATATGATAGAGAGTTTGAAGGGGAAAATGCACTTTTAACGATCTATTATCAAAACATTACTCAACAACATTGTTTAATTTCTTCGTCAAGAAACAAAGCTTGGAATTATTACATCTTACCTGATGACTCTCATGCGATGGATTGAACGAACATCCTGGGGGCTCAACTTCTACTGCTGGAATAATGGATGGCTTTGGTTTCTGACCAAGATTGCAACAAAATTACTTTTTTCCCCTTCTTTTTGATAACTCTTCTTTTTACACCCTCATATTTTCTTCTTCCATTTTTTGCATTAGGACAAGAGCCTTGTATCTTTTTTTTTTTTTTTAATATATAATAACAACTTTCATCGAGAAAAAATGAATGAATACAAGGGCGTACAAAAAACCAAGTCCACAAAAGAGAGCCCTACAAAGAGCCTTCTATCTTTTTGAATCGATATTGCTATATTTCAGACCGATGAGCTCTAACTTATGACATAAACAATGTAAGATAAAATATAAGACTTGTTATTAATTAACCAGGTAAAAAAACATACCTTACTGATTTTGCTTCTAGCCTCACCTGCAGTGCACCAAAAACAAGTAGTGCAACGTTTGATTATTTCATTAAAAAATGGTTATTAAGTACACGAGTGAGATACATATCACAAGAGTAATGAGAGGGGGAAAAAAGGACCTTTATCATCCCACAGATCAAGCAAGCCAACCTTGGCACCATCTTGAGAGGCTTCTTTGACTGTGGAAGCCTCTTCCGGTTTTTTCTTGGACTTCTTATTTACTGAAGAAGGCACAGCTTGGACAAACGGGTTCTTCGTCAATATGCTGTCACAGTAAAGGACTTTTTCTCGTTTCTTTTCTATTTTCCGCTTCACTGAAAGATCTATACAGAAAAACAGAGAAATAATAATAATTAGTGCAACCATGACAAATCCTTCCTAACAATGTTCTTTTGAAGGAAATCAGTTTATACTCTTAAGGAACAAATATGGGATGAACGTAGGCTCGAGTTCCTAAGTCGAAGCAAACAAATGCATCAGAAGGGAAAGCACAAGACCAAAACTCTAGCCTCTTCCCATGTTATCATTCAACCTCATTGAAGATACCATCCAATCGTCAGTTAGGGTATACAGCAAGAGCCCAGAACAAACACATGTTCATCTCCTCTTAAGAGGAAATAGATCCTTCTTTCAAAAGCCCAAGTGCAAATCGAGAAAGAATTGAACATCTCTAAAATAATGTAATTGTTTATGCCTGAATATTTTGCTTAATTTCAGCAATCAAAATTATCGTAATATAAGAAAAACTAATCAAAATTCTCAATTATAAGCTTTGCAGACGAAATTTGATTCAGTTCAGCGACAAATAAAATTTCAGAGACCTTTGATGCCTTTTGTGGATACTTTAGTTAGTGTCCTCAAAACCCAATGACAATATTTTCACTCTTCGGTTCAACACTTCAACTCCAAACTTAATGAAAAACAATAAGTTTTCTTTACACAAAGGAGAGCAAACTATAATTCGGTGAGAAGCAAGAATCAAAAGCGGAAAACAATCATCAAGCAGAGACAGTGTAAAAAAAAAAAAAACATCAAAATCAACCAAAAAGGCAGAACCCACAGCTAGAAGAAGAACAGAAACCGGGAAAGTGAAAGAGGCACGTTTAGGAGGGGAAATAGACAGAAAAATAGAACCAGCAGTACCTCGAGACTTGTCGACGACGAAAAGAGAATCGCTGGGAACGGCGGAGAGAGAGCCGCCGGAGAGAGCATCCTTCGTAGACTTCTCGAAGAAATCCTCAATTTCTGCAGTGCTGATGTTAGCTCTCCACGCCTTCTTCCCCTTCCTCGATCCCTTTGATTTCTTCCCCATCGCTCTGAAACTGAAGACCGAAGGTTGAAGCTTTGACAGCACTGGGAGAATAACAGGGAGGGAAGAACGAAGGATGGAGCGAAAAGAGGGGGACGGGCAGGGTTTAGGTCTTTATATTTTCCCCTTTTTAAAATATTTTTTAATATGCATATTTTCTTATGATTAAAAAAAAAAAAAAAAGAAGACATTTTGTATTAGCCCATCGGAGGAACCCTAAGTCTTCTCATCTCACTTCACACCGCCCCACCGTTCGTTCACCACCGTTCTCATCTCACTCCACCGGCGCCCGGCGGCCCCCTACCTCCCAACTTTAATCTCTTCTCTTCCCTTGTTAGAAGAAGAACTCTAGTTGAACTGAGTCACGGACAGAGCATGAAGGGTGGAAGAAAGAACTTGCAGAGGGCATCAAATCAACATATCGTAGGCCTCGAAGATGGTCATAGCATTATGCAGGTTGTCTCAATTCGTGGTTCCAATCTAATCGAGGTACCTTCCTCTTTACTCGATTCTACTCTCTCTGATTTCTACTTTTTTTTTTTTTAACCTACTCTATTTCGTAGTCAATTATTTTCTTCACAATTTTGCGCTTCTGCTATTGCCTACTGCGTTGCATCAATCGACCTGAATGACGAAGTTCTTTAATTCCAGCTAATTATAGGCCGACCTTTAGCATCTTTGATTATGATGCTATATAGTGTGTTTGATATTTACAAACTATTTATTAAGTGGTTTTGATACGCATGTCGTGTTGCAATTTCTTTGTAGAAATCGTACTTTTAATTAAGCATTGATATGGAGGAAACAATAATCTGTGTAGTTTCTCAGTTTCCTGCGCAAATTTGTCCATTACTTTGGCAATTATTTTAAGCGGGTTGCTTTGCTTTCTATGGTACTCCGGAAAATCTCTGATACAAATTTGTATTCCTTCATCATCTTTAGGTAATGGATGCACAAGGTGAGAAATCACTGGCATTATTTCCTGCCAAGTTTCAAAAGAGCATGTGGATAAAACGAGGTATGATCTATACCACATTTGCCTCGCTCTTTGTATCAAGATTTCACGTAATAAGCTTCACTGTGAACGTCAGGAAACTATGTTGTTTCAGTGTTACTGGAATTCATAAACTGCACCTGTTAAACATCGGTTATGGCCATTTTTGTGCCTCTGATTTAGTAGCTTTGGCCATATTCATTGAAACATAGAGATCCTTTTAGATCATTTTGGACAGTTTGTTAGGACCTCAATCTTAAGAAAACAAGCTTAAATTTTACTCCGATGTAAAAGGAGAAATTATATCGCTGGGTATCTCTCTCCCACAATCCACAATGGACTGATTTTTCTTAATTCTACTCCCTACTATTTCTACTATTTGCCACCTCAGGATGTAGTATGTTTCAAGGGCCTTTAGGCTCAAAAGGTCTAATAACGGCAGGCCTACTTTCCACTTTGTTACTATAGAGCCGGGCTGGAAGCTTGCCTACAACCCGCATTAGTAAACCTCTAGTGCTGGTAAAGTCCGGACCATGATCCTCCGTGTCCGATTTGCCAGTAGACAGCAATGGGTTCTCTGTCCTTGTCGGGGATGGAGCGATAGAAGTTTTGAGGTCCTTTTCTTTTAGTGCTTCGACCTGAAGCAATAGCTTCTAGCTAGTTCAGTTAATTATAACCCCTCCACAAACTATCAAGTAATTACAATTATGCCACAATTAATATAACTAATGTAGCACATTTATACTCTAACATAACTTCATATCCTACCTTTACTGAATGCTTGGATTTTTGTTTTGTTTTTTTTTTTTTGTTGGGTAGGAGATTACTTTTAAGTAATGGAAATCAGTTGTTGAAACAAGTGTTGTTTGCTTTGCCATCATTGCAGGGAGTTTCGTTGTAGTTGATGAAAGTGGAAAGAAGAATGCTCTTGAATCTGGAAGCAAGGTGGCATGCATTGTTTCTCGAGTTCTATATTTTGAACAAGTTCGCCAGCTTCAAAAATCTCCAGAATGGTATGTTATATATGTATGTATGTATGTATCAATTTCAACCTATTCATGAAAATGGATCTGGCATCGCTTTTAGATTTGCCCCATTTCAATTAATTAATTAAAAAAAAAACGTATGAGGGTCTCTACTTAGGATTTAATATCTTACTACCTACCTTGACAACCAAATGTAGTACGGTCAAGTTGTCTTGAGAGAATAGTTGAAGTGCACGCAAGTTGACTGACACTCGAACTATCTTTGTTTGAAGACTCTACCTAAATCATAAAACGATGGAAATTGTTAGTGGGTTCGGTTCGGATATCCCTACTTTCCCCGTGGAGACCCAATTTCCTAACGGGATAAAATCCTTCCACAAGGACGGAGAGTGTAATCCCCATGGCCGTTTTGCCATTCATAGATTAAAGAAAGTTGGTTTCATGCACAGTTCTTTTTGTTTTTTCTTTTTTTTCCTCGAACTCATAGATTAATTTGATGTCGGACTTCACTGATCCATTTACCTCCCTTCTTTTTACCAATCTATGGCAGGCCAGAAATCTTCAAGAATGCAATCACTGGAGATCAAAACGAAAATCTGCAAACAGAGAATAATCGACAGGAAGAGGACGAAATCGACTCGAGCGATGATGATGGCCTTCCCCCTCTAGAAGCCAACACAAACAGAGCTAAACCATTAATATTACAACCGGAAGAAGAAACAGAGTCTGATTCAGATTCTTAACTTGCATATTAATTTTAAGTCCATAATTTTGATTTAATACTATGAATATTCATTTTGATCGTTTGTCCTTCAATTTTAATTTTGTAATTAACAGAAATTTCTGACTGCCTACATTTTTTCATCTGTTATAATATGTAATCTATGCGGTTTAGAATATCAAATACAAAAGATAAGACTAATGGAAAATTTAGAAATAAGTCATAATGAAATTGTTTCATATATGAATGAAACTCTTTCTTAAAAAATTGAATAAAAATAACGTAAATAAATGTTTTGAAGGTAAATTGTTCAAACTATCCCTAAACTAGAAACTAATATACAATTGATCTACCTTTAAACATATATGTTTTCTTTTTCAAATGAAATTATCCTATTCACACGTGACCAATACCTCTTGCTTCATTGATTTTTTGGTATGTACATGTTTCAGCTGAATTACTACTTGTTTTAAATGTTTTTTTTTAGTATTCTTTAAAACCATATTTATAAATTAAGAAATTTTTTAAAAGATATTCAATTGTCCCTTTAACATTGAGTGAGTCAAGCCAACTTAGAATTGCGTCGCCTATGTGGACAGGCAACTTATGCTTAAGATTTTGGCCTCGATTTGAAAAAATTTGATTGTGTGGCACTCACTTTCAAGATTGAATGAGTCAAGCCAACTTAGGATCGCGTCGCCTACGATGGGGCAACGTGATGGGACAACGTATGTTCAAGCACTTGACCTCGGTTTGAGAAGAAGGTTTTAGAAAACATGGTTCCCCAATTTAGATTACGCAATGATTTGTTCACCATTTTAGATTGTATTACACAAGTCACGATGGAATGAGAATAGAGAGAAGTAAAAATAGGAGAGAAGAAATTGCAAATTTTTTTAAGCTAAAGAAACAAACGAAGTGTTTTTTTTTAGTTTTTACATGGCGGATTTGTCTTCCTTTTCCAAGTTTCTTTGAGATCTCATCAAATGCGCGCCTGCCGATTTCCCCCCATCTCTGTCTCCTCAAGCCTTCTCTTCTTGCTCTCTGCAACCCATATTTCCATACCCCGTCTTCAACAAACCCACGTCCACGACCTTAAGGGTGGCATCGATCCATCCATGAAGCCTACTGCCTTAGTTTTATAATCTTCACGTTCTTCTGGGTTTGGTGTGTTTTCTTCTGCAACTTTCTTCTGTAACGCCCCCATCGGTTGTTTTCCCGTTCTCCTCCTCTATAGAATCAAGCTATGCAGCACCCCAGATCCATGTGCTCGAAGTCTTAAATCAGCCTTAAACCGAACTAACCAAAGCTGGTTTTGCAATTCCTTTTCACGTGGGTTTTTGAATTCCTGAATCTTTGTGTAACATTGACTCATCGTAGATTCTTTTTCTGGAAATTTTTGGATTGCGAGAGCAGTAGATGAATGGGGGAATTCTTCATTCATTCTAATCGATGAATTGTTGTCTCTTAATCGTTGACCGTTAACACTTGAATCACTATTCTGAAGACGAGATTGCGAAATTATGAGCATAATCAGCAAATCTCGTCTCGAAGCAATTGTATCTGCGTTCGTTACTGTGCATCCTCATGAAATCTCGGCTCTGCTTCACTCTGCCTTCTGCTTCTTCTTCGTAAGTTCACCAAATCATTCATTGTTCTTGCTTTTATGCATCATTTTCTGCTAGTTTATGGTGCCCTGTTCTCTTCTATCTTAGATTTTGAGTGCCTATTTTGTGGTGCTTCCATTGCGTGATGAGGGGGCCATTTCTCTGGGCTTGTCCAATCTGCCGAGCCTTTTTGTGGGATCTTTGGTGCTCACTTTGATTGCTGCACCTATTTCCTCCCACATTTTCTCTTTGCCTAATCTTTCCAAAGGCAAGGTACTTTTCTCGAAGCTGTGCATTCCCCTTTTGATAATGTCGTCCTTTATTGTCTTATAAATTGTGATTCTTGAAATTCCAGGCTTTGGTTTTGATACACAGGTTTTTTAGTGTATCACTCGTTGTATTTTTCATTCTATGGCAATCTTCATCTACTGTCCACTCTTCCAAGGTACTATGATAATCTGGGAAATAATTTGTGATTTGTTTTGTGATTATTGTTATTTTCTTCTAAGTTCGACGATAGATAGAGATTCCAACGTCTAACCTTTGACATGTATTTACTTAAGTAGTTGAACTATGTTCAAATTATCTCGTGATACCAATTCCCCTATTGCTCAAACCGATAAACACGTGAATTGTTAGTATTAGGTAGAGAAGAAATGATATTTCCGGGATTCGATGCAAGACACCTATTCATGTTATGAAAAAAGAATCTAAATCTAAAAGTTTAAGCGGATAGATTATGTTAATATTAATGTTCTATATGCTTAATATTGTAATTTCTTTGTTAACTTTGTTTTGATTTTTCAATTTTAGGGGTTCTTTACATTGTTCCTTGCTGCAAAAGAGGACCCAAAGGATTATGGTGACCAATCAAATTCTATTTCTTCTGTAGATTGGGATAAACATGGGTGGTTTTATGTATCAGTCAGAATTGGATTTTTCCTTTGGGTATCAAAATCCTCTTATTATTTTGCATATACGTTAACTTTCATGAAAGTGTTGAATTTGTCCTCAGCTCAATGGGTGAAACTAATAGTTTCTTGTTTTGAAGGTGGCTTTACTTAATCTAATAACAATTTCCTCAACTTGGGCAAGAGTTATTGATGTCATGGATAGTGAGGTATATCTTCTGTTTCGGCCACACTTATATGAATGGTAGTTGCAAATTTTTTACTCGAGGGATCTTAAACTAAGAAATGGATTCTAGAAGCTAAACTAAAAAAAAGGGCATTCTGAGCAATTTCAATAGTCGGGTTCATTGATATTCCTGGAATAGTAGATACTATCACACATACAATCATACTCAATTCGATGGAATTGTTTGATCTTAAAGGAGATCTTCTATAATTTCGCACGTGAGGGGTTATTTCTTGATTTTGTCTGGTCATTAATAACTTGGTTATTTTGAGATAATAGTAGATAGAAACAACGCTCATAAGGAGTCCTATTGAAACCAAGAATTATAGGCCTGCTTGCCATCTACACTAGAATAAATGAAGTTTTCCGAAAAAAACTGCTAGTGAAGGATAAAAGACACAAGGTTAAAGAGAGAGCTAAAAGAGGATCTTTTGTGTATAATCCTGCATAATCTCGAATGCTAACTTGGTTTTTTTTTCCAGTCAGGTGCTAGATTATTTGGGTTCATAGGTGCGGGTGCCACACTCGGCCAGCTTTTTGGTTCTCTATTTGCAACAGTCATGGCTTGGTTGGGGCCCTGTATGTCTTCCTCCCTCTTTACATTTTAAAAATGCAATGTTTCTATTAACTCCTCCTGTTAGATCAATAAAGATAGGTCCATCTGTTTTAAGCAATTTGTAGTTTTGAGGAGGAAAGACTTTTACATTTGCTTGGTTCTTTTTCGAAAAATAACATAGGTCTGTCATGACAGCTCTTCTCCTCTTTTCTGCCATACTCATGGAATTCGCTGCACGATTGTCTGAAGGGATAAACCAGGATATGCCTCACTCTGGTGAAGAATTATCTCTCATCAGGTTGCCAGTTTCGAAAATTCTTGTTTATGGAATCCAACCTCATGATGAAGTACCAACTTCTTGTTGACATGCCTTATATTCTTGCAGGGATGCAGATGCTAGTCATGAGAATGATGCTGAAGGGCTGGGTACATCAGCTTTTAAAGGCCATTCTCCCAAATCAAATTCTACAATGAAGCCTCACCCATGGGCGATCTTCGATGGAATGCTGCTCATCTTATCGTCCTCCTACTTGTTGTGTGTAGCGTTGTTCCTATGGCTGAGCGCTGTTATCTCATCCTTCTTCTACCTGCAGGTACGATTATTCTCGTTCACGGATCACATTAATGACTTTCTTTTCAACATCGTCTCTTTTCATGCTTTAAGCTTAGTTAGAAGGTAAATTTGTATTTGACAAACTTTACAGCTTATCCCATGATACTATTTGTATTGTGCATGAAGGAAAATGCTTCAAATGTTTTCCTACTGGATTCCATATGCATCTTGTGTTTATCATTCATGTGTAGAAAATGCACGTGAATCCTTTCAAGTGAAAATTACTTGATACATACCCAACTTTTTGTGTGCAGAAAGTGAGTATAATTGCCATTACAGTCACTAGTTCTCTTGGCAGAAGAAAATTGTTTGCCCTGATAAATAGCTTCATTGCTGTTTTTATCCTTGCTGGCCAGCTTACTGTAACGGTATGGTTCCTTTAGATTCGTACTGTAACACGCTTGCTAACTTCAGCGACGAATATCTCATTCGGCCATTTAGTTACAAATGTCTTTAGGCTTAAATTCTATCATGATCCAAAGCATGTTCACATGTAATAGGTCAGACATAGGGTTTTAAAACAGAGTTCGGCTTTGTAAATAATTAATGATCTAAGTTTAGGGACTAAAACCGAACATGTAAAGGCTTGACTAGATTTGAAGCATTTGAAAGCAAGCTAAAGGGAAATAAGTATGAAATTGCATGGATCAACATAGGATTTAAACTATGTTTTATCATGTTTTTGCTTTGATTTTCTTCCCCCTTGTGAAGTTCAGGGTCACATTCTTACCATAGCTGGTGTCACCGTAGCTATCTGTGCTTCACCATCAGTTGCCTTCTTAAATTTGGTTGCAATTGCTGTGTGGCCAACTTGGGTAGTCATTGCTGTTTGTGAGACTGTGCGCAAGGTCTGTGTATGCATTGTGCCTTCTATATTTCTTTATAATTCAGATTCGTTTATTTTGATTCCTAGTTGATTTACTTGCCAGGTTACTACTTACGTCGTTACTCGGCCCGGGAGAGAGCTTCTGTTTACCGTTGTGTCGCAAGATGAGAAGTACAAAGCCAAGGTTTTCATCCTCGAGTTTTCATCTTTTTTATTAACTTTTGATTACCAAAACATGTCTTCATTACAAATGTTCAACTGCAGATATGTATTGATGTGTTTGTTCAAAGATTAGGGGATGCTACAGCAGCAGGGATGTACAAATTACTCCTCAGCACTCTCCATGGAAAAACTTCAACCATTTCGCTCTATGCTCTACCCGTACGTATGATCGTTTATTGATATTGTCGATATTAATGTGCTGCTTCTGCTGATCATTTGCTTTTACTCTAGAGTAACGCTTCGATAACTACTACTTTTGCTGCTATCCCAGATATGTTTGTTGTGGATTGTCAATGCAATATATTTAGGACGTCGCCAGTCTCACCTCACACGTCTTCAAGCACTCTCCACGTCCTAGTCGTCCTAGTCTTTTATACCGATCCATAATAGTTGCAGAGAGAGGCTCGACGAATTGTTGCAATGTTTAGAAGTGTCTCACAGTTGCTACTAGCATCGTCTTAGGTGGTAACCTTGTGTTATATTCATAGAGTAGAAAGATTTCAATGTTATACACAGTTGTGGGATGTTGATGGCCTGGACTTCAAGCATTGCTCGCAGCAGAGGTAATACAAGCAATGTTTGAAGAGAATGATCCATCTCCCTCTATGTAGAAACTGCATTGACTTATTATTATTCTTATCAAATATAAATTTTCATTGCCTTCTTAACCAAATCATTTATGTATTACACTGACCTGACCATCTCACTTCCTCTCTAATTTTCTTACAAATATGGTATATTTAGATATAGTTGTATTAAAGAGTTAATTCAGCAAAATATGAAAGAAAAGACGTGGAAATAATTAAATATAGTGTTGTATACATATAGGCCTCCCTTCAAATAGACCAATTGTTGGGACACCTCTATTGCTATATATATTGCCCCAACTCTTATTATTTTCAATAGCCTATGACAATAACATCAAGCAAAACTGCCATAGGCGTCATTCTATATCATCATCCTGGTAAAAACCGAATGACGTTGAACCTGCACGTATTGCACGCACCTGAAATATGGAAATGTGTACCACGAACAGTTACCTATTTAGATTCCTTGGACAATTTAAACTCAAAACCATGACGACGCAGATAGAGCAACAAGGAAATGAAAACGAAAATGAAAACGACAAGATAAGCCTTAGCAGATCCTAGAGAAGTCTTTCAAGTTTTGTAAGAAAAGGTAAAAGACTGTATGCTTACTCAAGTTCGTCGGAGGGAACGGACCCGATCCTGAATCAAGTTCCTCTCCCAATCTGCGATATCCTCGAATGCGTTATCTGGAAGGCTCTCGAATGGCTCCTTCCCTGGATCATTTTTCGATAGATCGTATGTGGCTCCACGGATGGCTTTTTTACTTGGTCCACAAGGTCTTTTTGAAGTCAGTGCTTCATATGCTGTATTCAACTGTCATATACCCAAAAGAACAACCCTATCAGTTGGTAACTTTATTAGGAGAACTTGCATTCAAAACTTGTGAAGGGCAGGCATTTGAAATATAGAACTTAAGTTTCTAAGTAGAAGAGAACTTGCATTCATTCCACAAAACCAGTACAGGTATGCTATTGCAACGGCAGGGGCCCTGCCTAATCCAGCGGTGCAATGCACGTAAGCTTTTCCTTTACCCTCCGAAATCGCCCATTCTAACAAGGAAACAGCTTTGGGCAATCCATTTCTCAGGGAGTCTGGATCGAAATCCTTTGCCTAAAAAAGAACAGGTTAACTCGACTCGTAAGCAGAAAACAAACCAGCAAACAAATTCGTAAGGGTCGATGAGGAAAAACATTCCCATTTGGAGAAGTCTATAGAACAGTCAGTGTATTTGAAAATGACTCTACCAACGATTTAAGCCCAAGAGTATTATTAAAAGGATGTGTGCTTACCGGTTGCCTCATATGATGAATTCCAAGTTCTTTACATCTTTCTATAACCGACTGTAAGTCGATTCCCCAGTACTCGACATCCTTATCCTGCTGTAAATTTAGAATATAGGCAACACCTTCTTCCTCCTTCAGGAAATCGATATCTTCCGGTTTCTGAGGCTGGGAACCGACGATCAAATTGTCAGCTATCACAGTATAGTTCATACCTGATTCAAGAAGCATTATGACTTAACATTAGCTTTTTGAACACTGATATCACTTAACATTAGCTTCCCTCAAGATTTTTAAAATGTATATACTAGGAAAAGGTTTCCACACTCTTTTAAAGAATGCTTTATTCCCTCTCCAACCGATGTGGGATCTCACAATTCATCCCCCTTCGAGGTACAGCGTCCTCGCTAGCACTCGTTCCTCTCTCCAATTGACGTGGGATCTCTAAGTCTTGGCCCTCTAATTCATTACTCGAAGTACCATTAATTGTAACTTCAGCAAAAAGCTATCATAGAATGTAAAAAAATCCACATGGAAGGCTCAACTGTGCACATCTCATACCAGAAAAACACATCCAGAAAACAAATAAAAGCACTTCAATATATGAACTTCAACTACAATCCATTCACTTGAATCCTATCAGGCATTCGCTTCTCATTCCAAACAAAGCAAATGCCCCAAAATTACCCTTTAACGAATTGCAGAAGCAACGCGATTAAAAGAAAATAAGAAACTGACCGAGTTCATGGTGATACTCATATGGATTCCTCATCATCTTCTTCATAGCCAAATTGTACTCCTCCATCCTGTTCTTGGAAGAGGAAGCTCTGGAACTTGAGGGGTTTTGCCGAATTCCACTCTCAGGCAGTCCGCAGCGGATCTTGTTCAATCGGAAGAGGGGTTTTGAGGGATTTGAACAAAATGGTAAGGATTTGTTGTGCGCATTATTATGAGATGGAAAAACTGCAAATAGCGATGAAAAACAAGCGAGGCTAGAAGCTCCCATTTTCTTATGAGATGCACTGATTCTTTCCCTTTTTTCTTCCCTCTCGTTAACGATCGAAGTAATCAAAATTGTGTAGAATCTAGAAATCTGGTGGGTTTTGAGGAGCAAATCCGCCGACCTTGCACGTGAAACTAACTCCCCCAAGTCATCACGCACGAGACGCTTCCTTTTTTTCTTTTCTTTTTTAATTAGTTTTTATTTGTGAAAGTTCTTATTTTTACAACTCATTTGAATTTGATTTAAATACATATCATCCATGTGATAAGTCAAATCATGATAGTTCGAGCTAGCATAAAATTACAACTAAATAAGAACGCTAGTTTGTAAAGTTCGAGTGGTCGAGAAAGTTACTATAGTTATTTATGAATTTGATATCCACATGAAAAATCGACTAATATCACATTTGAAAAAGATATGATTAAGTTGGATGAACAACTAAATTAACATCATCGAGAACGAGTCCCTAATGTTGTTTGAGACCCACACAGAGAAGATTAAGTTTACAACACTACAAAAATTCAACTAAACAGAACAAATCAATCAATCTCAGCAATCTCTACTAATACCTAATTCCTTTAGCAACCTCAAAGAAATGAGCTACACTTTCCTCAGGTGTACCCACAACAATGCCATGGCCTAGATTCAATATGTGCTTCCCTTTACCTGCCTTCTTCACAGTATCATTTATCCTTTGGGTGATGAACTCCTTGGACCCGAAGAGAACGCCAGGGTCGACATTACCCTGTACTGCTATGTCTGCTCCTAATCGCCTCCTACCTTCAGCCATGTCGACCGTCCAATCTAAGCTAACTACGTCGACACCAGTTGAAGCCAGCCTTTCAAGTAAGCCTCCAGACCCACTGGCATACAGAATCAGTGGAAGGTCTGGATGTGTTTTCTTCACAGAGTCCACAATCTGCTTCAAGTATGGGAGACTGAATTCTTCGAAGTCCACGGGGCTGAGCTCTGTCGCCCACGAATCGAAGATTTGAACGGCTTGCGCTCCGTTGTCTGCTTGGTATTGAACGTACCTAGCCATTGAGCTTGTAAACTTCTGGAGCAATGCATGAAGAACCTGCAGGAGGATTGAAGGGTCAATGCTTACTAGGCTTGCTTGCTTAAGCAGAATGCAGGGCGGGCGTTTTGGGGAAGTTCAGTGAAGGTATCCATACATTAAACTGAATAGGACAGGCATGTTGTGATGTATAGTTAAATATGGAGACAAGTTTACAAATCTCTGGTGATGTCGACTCGGAAGAAAGAGAGATGTGGCATTTACCTTTGGCTGAGAGAAAGCGAGCCTTTTTATTTTTGAAAAGTGCTTCGACGAACCACCTTCGACCACGTATGATGCAAGGGTGAAAGGAGCCCCAACGAAACCAAGAACTGCTGCTTTGTTGTCAACCTGGAAAGGAAAATACATGATAAATATACAAAAAGTTGAAAAGCCAATGAACTATAGACTGAAAAACAATGCATAACATCTAAGACCTCTTTTCGCAGAATCGTTAAAGCTTCCCCAACATATGGAACATTCTCTTCAGGGACAAACTCCCTCACTTCATTCACTTGAGAAGCTTCGCTTATAGGGTTAGCAATGATCGGACCCTTACCTTTGACGATGTCGAAGGGAATATTCATCCCGGATAGCGGAGTGAGAATGTCTGAGAATAAGATCACCTGTTGCAATCAGATAGGGTAACAAACAAGTCAAACCAAAGGGCTAACTCATAACTACAACTGTTAGAACAACAAGTGCTTTCTTGATATGATAGCTCACCCCATCAGGTTTAAAGACTTTCCAAGGCTGAAGCGAAATTTCCACAACAAGATCCGTATTTTCGGACCTTTGACGAAATGAAGGGTATTTTTCACAAATGACTTGGTAACTCTGTTGCAACAAACGTGCATAATATGAGAGCCGGGTTTAACAGAAGTTTCAAGTTTCAAAGAGAATAACAATTCATACAATTTACACGAACTCACAATCAAACTTATCTTATAAAATGACCAGATTTAGCATTCAAGACTCAAGAGTATCAAAAGTGACATAAAATTGAACAGTTATGTGTGTGCATTACCATCGAATCTTCGTTGTATACGAAGAACAGTTATGTGTGTGTACATCACAAAATTAAAAAAGAAATGAGCAATGATTTTTCCTGGAAGTAAAGGAAAGTGGTTTCTCTCAGCAACCACATGGGTTTCTATTTCTTTGATCTTGGTATTATTTGGGGTGCCTTTATCTCCCCATTCTCGGAAAGTTTCTTGTTTTTTTGCTATCTTTTCACTCCTTAGTGGAGTTTGTATCTGATGAACATTATTATTACTTTTCATCTATCAATAAAATGTTCATATCTTGGTAAGGAAAATGATCTTTCTCCTAGAATGAACTTCAAGGTTTAGCATCTTAAGAACAGAACACAAATTGTGATTATAGCACTTGATTCCTCATTCTACAAAAATGGAGATCTTATTTAGATGAACAGGTACAAGATCACGAAGAGGCTAAATAAAACCAGATTCTTGCAGAAAGAAATTTTGGGTGAACTAATGAAATATATTCCCGAACCACTTTATGAGTACTATAACTATCCGGCTTATGGGCTGCAAATCCCACCAAATCCACCGCAGAGTGCAAAAGATAGTCTTTTCTAGCAAACAAAATTTCAATTGAGAAACCGACCGCCACAATAGAACAATATAATCTAGAAAACAAAATTTCAGATCTAATTTACTTCAACTATTTGAAGAAAAAATCATGATGTCAAGGTATAAGAACATGTCAAAAAGAGAAAGTCTATTGAAATTTTTAGCCGTATAAACCTGCCTTCATGTACCTCCCTGCTTGCCTCATCAACCAAACTGGAGGTCTTTCGACATCCTCACCACGAACAGCATTAAGCAACAACGGTTCTGCAGAAGTGGTAGATTTTGGTTCTGCTACAGTTCCTGGATGTGATTGTCTTGCATTAGAATTCTTGTTCTTATGAATGTTAAAAGTTTATTTTATTTTCCCACACACAACCAAAAAAGCTATAGTAGCATTTTTTTTCTTCTTTCGAGTTGTAGAGGTGTGGGATTTGAATCTACTACTCCTTGAATGAGGGTAGATGTCTTAATCATTTGAGTTATGTTCAAGTTAGCTAAACCTATATGAATAAATATACCATAAACTATCGACTTAAACTTTTGTATTTAGTATATCAATAAAATTTGAATCTAATGCTAATGTCCAAGCCTTCTATGATAGTGTTAGAGATGTATAAAAAAGAACAAATTTAATATAACTTATCCCCTTCAGTTTTTGAGTTTATTGGCAGGTTAACAAACGCAAATGCAGAATTTGCACATGAATAAGAAGATAAACTTCAATTCTGCACTGATTTCATTGGAAAAATGAGCTAATCGAAGAAGCAGCAAGATAGAAAAACTCAAACGCCCTTCAATTATAAGAATCAAACACAGTCCAAATATCATGGAAAGAAAGTCAACTCCATCTTCACAGCTCTGAATCGTTTCAACTTTCTCAAACCAAAACCCCACCACCGACGGAAACAATCCAAATTAGAGGTTCAATTCAACAACCTTCAAGTTTCCAGTAGAGAAATTATCAACAAGCACGAGCCAAACCTCATTTTCCCAAGTCCAAGCAGTCAAAAGCAAACTCGAATTGAAAAATTGGAGAAAACCCAAATCGGAAAAACAAAAAAGCATACCTCCAAGAGTACAGTGGATTCGAGACTTAAAAGAAGCGCATCGATTTCTTCTGGGGAAAGAAGAAGAGGAAGCAGAGAAACAAGGTAATGGGGTGTTGTGAATGCACGACATGATCTTGTTCAAGCGCAGAAATTCAAATTCCAAAGCTCAAAATGCTGCAAATCGTCTATATCATCTCCCTTTGCGCCAGCAAAATTGTTTGCAGTGAAGTGACTGGTTAGATGTGTCGATGAAGAAAACAGAGAGAGCGAATGGAAATCGCAATCGGATAGAAAGGATAAGGGCGTTTACCATAAATCGCCTTATCGAATGTAATCTAACGTCCGTACCATACGCGCTAATAAATTTCCGACTTTTTAATTTCTAAATTTAAATTTTTTAGAAGAGTTCTAAAATTAACTTTAAATTTTTAATATTTTACCTATTTCATATTTTTAAAATTTTCATAAATTTATTTAATTAAACTACTCGTAGAGTTTTTACTTAAATTCGTTCTTTTTTTCAAATTTTAAGATATAGAAAAAAGGTAGATTTTTCAAGCGCCCCGAGTCTATGTCCTAAACCAGATAAACTATGCTTGACATCAGTAGTAAAGAGCCCGTTGAGTGGCAGTCTTTAACTTAAGCGCTCGAGATATCCGAGTTCTCCAAAACGAGCATCCAGTTTAGCTTAAGAGAACGCTTCTCACAGCCTCATGACAAACAAAAATTATAGCTTGCATTCTACACAGAATCTTACTGAAGCTTGCAAGATTTATATGAGAGGAGAAAAGAATTGACATCATGACCAACTTTACATACATGGAAAGAACTGAGGAATGAAAGAAAACGAATCAGAATATCGTGTCGATGGTAAGCTTTCTCTTCAATGGAGCTTTCTCGACGTTCTGCTTCTGCAATTCCATGAACGTTGAACCCTTGTTAGCGAATAATCTCCGTAAGTTGATTACCGAAAGCTCGTTGAAGCTAGCAACTGCAAGATCAGCCTGTACTAGATCATATCTGCACAAGATCGTTCCTATATCAGTTGATGATCGAGATATTCGTTAAGAAGTAGGGATGTGAGGCACATACGCGGGGTGCGCACCGATCAATGCTATAGCCATCATCGTACAATTGTGAGCAGCGGTTATGCCTCGAGGATCATCCTCAAACACCACACACTTGGAAGGCTTTCGATCCAGCTGCAATAGGTATACGCATTCATGAACGTCGCCAATGCAACGATGAAAACTATGCTGCTTTTGGTTCCCATTATATTCGAGTTTAACAATATGCGAATCGGACGTTACCTTCACAGCAGCAGATAGAAACCTATGAGCCATCGACTCCATACCATCTTCCTCCGTTACGATTGCCTGCAAAAATGATAACGGTGTATTCGTTTTACTATTTGGCTTAGAATAAAGTTACTCAGACTTCTAGTTCTAACTTTGAATGCAAGAGAAGGTTACCTGAAAATATTTCTTCAAACTCATTCGGTCTAATGCTTCGAGCATGTGTTTCCGATCGAGACTTGAAACGATGGCACAGGGAATGCGAGCTGTAGACACGGCATCCAGCCACTCTTTGAGACCATCAACTGGCGTTTTAAGCTGAATAAGAAAGTATTTAAATGATTTACACGAACAATCGAACGAACAAAACAGTCTATAAAAAGATTTTATTGAGAGTACTCACAGAAAGAAGACCTCTATAATACAACTGTGAAAACCTCGATTGCAATCTATCCAGCTCGCTTTCTGCCATGCCCCAACGTAGAAGCTGAAAGGTTGAGCAGAGTTTTCAAAAGCATTAAAAACACACCACTAGCAGATATTGTCCTCTTTGGGCTTTCCCTTTCGGGCTTCCCTCAAGGTTTTCAAAACGTGTGTGCTAGGGAGAGATTTCCACACCCTTATAAAGAATGCTTCATTCCCCTCTCCAACCGACGTAGAATCTCACAATCCATCCCCCTTCGAGACCCAACGTCCTTACTAGCACTCGTTTCTCTCTCCAATCGATGTGGGATCTCACAATTCACTCCCTTTCGGAGCCCAACATCCTCGTTGGCACACCGCCCGGTGTCCACCCCCTTTGGGGCTCAGCGTCCTCAATGGCATACCATCCGGTGTCTAGCTCTGATGGAAAGAAACCACAGAGCTTTTGATAATAAGGCAAAGGTATAGGTTAGAAATATCCAAACCTTCTTAATCCTAACCATGACATAGAACATATATTCGACGGTAAATTGGAGCGCCTTTTGTACCAAGATAACATCATAGAACACGAGTTACATCTCCAATAGAAACATATTTTCGTATGCAACTACAACGAGAAGCATCTTTCAATTTTCAACCTCGGTAATAAACCCGACAACCTTTCTTAAAACATAAAAATTACAAACCTTCTGCAATACATGATCTGCACCTGCATAAAGCATAAGCTTCTGCATATCACCATCTTCAGGAACTCTTTTTCCTATAGCAATTACAATTCAAAATTCAAAACAATAAAACAGAGATTAAAAGATTTCTTAATTCTGTAAGAGATTATGAAAGTTCTAAACAAAAGATTTCATATATGCATCGGTGCAGTAATTTCCAAAGAAATAGAACAAAACCTTCTTCTGAGGCAAGTTGTTTCCATGAATTTAACTTTAAAGTTTGAGTATCTGCCTGAAAATGAATCATACACATCATCAGACAAAAACATGTTCATAATCAGGACATTTGGTTATATGGGTATTAAGAACATAGAAGTTACCACAACATTATCCCAAGAGAAAACTAAGCCGTATGCTTCATCGGGTTTCATAGCATAACGAATTCTTTGAAGAAATCCTTCTTGTAGTCTATCGTTCAAGAAATCCTGGTTGCCACAAGGATTAAGACTCTCAAGTGAAAAAGAAGAAAAATAGCTTGAATATAACTAGATTTACTCCATTTTTTCCTTACCACGTCCACTTTCATAGGACCATCTGGTCTAAAACTCACAAATCCTTCTCCATATTCAGCTCCGATTGCCTGACACACAAACATTGATCACAAACTTGAAACATTGAAAAGATATGCAAACCCCATCAGTTAAGAGCATCAAATTACAAGGGTTAATCGGCTTAACTAAGAAAAGAATGTTAAATTTAGTACCTCCTGCATAAAAAGCTTGTTGGGAGTAAAGGGAAACCTATTGAGGGAGCCATTTTCGCCAGACTCAGAAACTCTCATCGCCACCATAGAATGTTTATTGAAGTTAAAACGCTTAAAACTCTGTAAAAATGAGAAGAATCCACCATCAAAGAAGGAACGAAATGGGGTGGAAGAAGAGGAAAAAGGGTACCCGATATTTGAAGCGAGACGAGGAAGTGGGTGTCCATGATAGAGGAGCAGTGGAGGTTCTGAAATTGCTACAGCTGCAGTCCATTAGTGTACAACGAAGGGGGCGATAGCCGTAGAGGGTGAAGCTAAAAGGCTACTTAGATTTTTGGGCTTTGCCCCTTTTCTTTCGCGAAGAATAAGGGCTCGTAGAGCGTAACGAATCCACCGGGCAATCCGTGCTCCGCGCCGCGCCCCTTCAATTTTTATTAGCACACTTGTCCTATAAGAAAATCTGTTCTGTTCTTATTGCCTATATGGCTGTGATTGGAAAGCCCCAAACAAAGCTTTGAGAGCCTATACTCAAAGTGGGCAATAACATGCCATTCTTATTGTTAGAATTGTGTTCAACTAACATGGTGGTACCAGAGTCATGTCCTAAACTTAGTCATGTTAATAAGTCTCGAAGGCATAGTAAAAAAAAAAAAAAGTCTAGACTCAATTAAGGGGAAGCGTGATCTCGGGTTAAATAAAAAATTTATATAGTTGCATATTAAATATATTAAATATAATAGAATGAAGGAATCTTTTGGGCCCATTTTTTCTAACAAAATCAAGATATAAGGCCCAAAAAAATATATTGGTGGGCTTAAGGTGTCAAAATATTAATCTCTATGCTTATAAATAATTTGGAAAAATAATTTTGAAAATTTTGATATCTTACTTTATGTTATATTTCATTTGATTTTTATTTAATTGAATTTAATAAAAGTCTGTATTTAATTGAATCTATTATTACTAAAATAAATAAATAAATAAATAAAATGTTACATTTGTTGAATAAAAAAAATGGAGAAAAAGAGAGAGAGAGAGAGAGAGAGAGAGGCAATTGGGTTGGGGATGAGAGAACAACGGGGCGAATTATAAGGCACAAAAAACGGGTCAAACCATAATGTATTCTTCCATTTTTCTTGCAATTTAAGCATTTTATTTTAATTTATGTTTTTTTTTTAATTTCTAAATTAATTAATATAGTTTATTTTTTGAGGTATTAATATTAACTTATAACCTTCATTTCTACTCTTTAGATCCATTAATATTTGTTCCCCCTTGATTTCAATTCCCTCATTTTCACCACCCACTTTGATATTAACACCTTTCTTTCTTTTTATTTAACCTATAAATTAATATTACCTTAAATTTCGTCACACAAATTATACAATTTTTTTATTATAATCTTTGAAGTGTTTGAGTCTTGGGTTTAATATAATGAAATTAAAAATATTTAGTAAAAAAATAATATTCTAATTGAGTTGCATTTATATCAACAAGTGAGTTAGAGTAAGATAAATAATGTGTGTATTTATGTGACGATAAACTATAATATAAAAATAAAGGATTAAATAGGCTTTTTTTAAAGTTGAGAGAATCCTAGTATAGAGATTGAGATTATAATATAAAAAAAAATTAAAGAGTTATTATTATTATTATTATTATTATAAAAGTTTAAAAGCATATATAAGTCATAATGTGAAAAAGATAACTAATTATTAAATTATTATTATATATATAGATATATTGAAAGGGTATATGGTCATTTTCTTTGTGAACATCACTAAAACTCTTTGAGTAATTTTGTAAAGAAAGGTTCTTATTGTGTTGGATGAAAAAAAGGTAAACTTCATGAAAACCAATGCCCCAACCCACCAAAAATATTAAATAAATAAATAAATAAAATTTTAATTCTTTTTATCCTCTAAAAAAAATCTTCATATTTATTTTCGTTAATGTACTTTTTAATGACCACTACTTTACACGATAGTATGATATTGTCCACTTTGATTATAACCTCTCATGGCTTTTGCTTTGGACTCCCCAAAAGACCTTACACCAATCAATCGGGATAGTATTATTTGATTGTAAACTCATGGTCATTCCCTAAAATAGCGGATGTGAGATTTTCATTGTAACGACCCAGATCGACCGCTAGTAGATATTGTCTTTTTTGGGCTTGCCCTCAAGGCTTTAAAACGCGTCTGGGTCGTTACAAATGGTATCAGAGCCAGACATCAGACGATGTGCCAGTTTTCTCACTGTTCTCCGGAGGGGGGTAGACACGAGGTAGTGTGCTAGTAAAAACGTTGGGCCAGGAAGGGAGGTGGATTTGGGGGCTGTCTCACATCGATTGGAGGAAGGAAAGAGTGTCAGTGAGAATGCTGGTCCCAAAGGGAGGTGGAGGATTGTGATGTCCCATCTTAGTTTAGGGATGAGAACAAACCACTATTTATAAGGGTGTAGAAACCTTCCCCTGTAGACGCATTTTAAAAGCAAGGGTAAGCCCAAAGAGGACAATATCTTCCAGCTGTGGATCGGGTCGTTACATTCATCCAACAAAAAAAAAAAAAAATACATAAAACTGTGCTTAGAAGTAAGTTTATTTTGTGAGGAGGAAGAGTTCATCTCCCTCCTTCCTTTTTTAATCAATCAACTCCCTCTCTCTAATCTCTACATTGCGGCTGCTCTACGGTGATGCCCATTTACTTATATATATATGTGTGTGTATATATATGTATATGTGTATATATATATAGTGATGGCTTAGTTCTTGATTTTGACAAGAAACTAACCCTTTTTTTTTGTTGAGTTCAAGACGATCTATATATATATACACTTTTGATCTCTAAATTAAGAGGTAATTCAAAGAAAACAAGTTCTTGCAGAGCTTATTATTTTTTTATTTTTGTCTCCCTAACAAATAAGCAAACTCCTTCCCCTCACATGCAATTTCTTCTCTCAAAGTCAAAACGCTCGCACGTGACCTCGTTTTTTTAGTGTAACGAAGATTCGATATGAAGATCTGAACCTCTAACCTAAAACAATAAACGGGATATATTCATATCCCTCGTACCCGAGCTGATTTATTTTCATTCTTCTTATAGATCTTTGGTGGGAATCCTCGTACACTGCCTATACAGATGACCCACATCTTCATATCACCATTTCAAACTACCTAAACCTTCCCTTCTCTCTCTCTCTCTCCTTTCTTCAAGTCAAGATCAGAGCATGCCTGAATGTCCAAAGAAAGGTAAGAAAAACCCTCACTTTCTTCGCCCGAGCAATTTCGTTCACGGTTTTAACTCGTCGACAAAGAACAAAGCTATTCATGTCTTAACCCGTTGAGTTTCAACGTGGGTTTTTTTTAACTCCCTTAATTTTGTTTTATATGGTTGTATGTATTAGAGAGAAACGAACCGATAGGTTGATTATGATAATCGAATTGACTTTATTGAGTAACTTTTTTTTTCGTGTTAATGTAGAGAGAGATTCGACGAGATAGCGAAGAAGATAAAGAGAGAAACCGATGTATCATCAAATATTCCTCCACAACAAATCATGGGGAGACGCCATTCCTTGCAGGCTTCTCCAGGGATACTCAACACCATTACTCCATGTGCAGCCTGCAAGCTCTTAAGAAGAAGATGTGCTCAAGAATGCCCCTTTTCCCCCTACTTCTCGCCTCACGAGCCTCATAAATTCGCCTCGGTTCACAAGGTTTTTGGTGCTAGTAATGTCTCGAAGATGCTCATGGTAACTCGATGTTGTATTATTATAAGTTTAGTCATTAAATTTTTCGAGTTAATTTATTATAGTTATTGTATTTTAGGAAGTTTCTGAGAATCGGAGAGCGGATGCTGCGAACAGCTTAGTTTATGAAGCGAATGTGAGGCTTCGAGATCCTGTTTATGGGTGCATGGGTGCCATTTCGTCCTTACAACACCAAATCCAAGCCTTACAAATTGAGTTAAACACGGTGAGAGCTGAGATCTTAAGACACAAATTTAGAGAAGCTAGTAATATGATTCACTCTTCTCCTCAACCACAACAACAACAACATGCGTCTTTTCTTTCATCTTCGGCCGAGGTTGTTTCGGTTGCCGTTCCACCACCGCCACCGTCTCTACCACTACCTCCGCCATCTCATCACGACGCTTCTTCCTCTTCCTCCCCTTTGTACAACCGTCCCACAGTGGCAACGGATTATAATACCATTTCAAGCAACGAGAATGTTACCTACTTTGTTAGTACTACAAGTACGGATCATCAATTGAATTCTTAGAGAAACGCGAATTTACATGGAATAAGATCGGAAGAAAAAAAGTTGGGTGAATCCCATTTCTCGTTTCTCGTTTCTTAACTAAATACTAACTCGAAAACAAAAAACGAAAAATTTTACGATTTTTCGATATCATTCATCTGTATTATTTGAAAAACACGTTTTTTTTCTCCTCGTTTGATGAACGTGAAACATTAATCATTTCGTACACGGTGTCGATCTCGATCGATTAAGGGTGGATAATAGTTGATTAAATTTGGTTGACTAAGGAGAGGCATAGCACATGGAAAGTAGTCGGTGGCATTGAAGGATGGGATCTGAAATGTGAAGGATTATTTAAAAGTTGGGTAAGAAGGGGAGACAAATGTGTACGACTTTGATACTCCCCATGCAATTTCAGTCTCATTTATAAGGCTATGTTTACCAAAATTATGTTCATATCACTAATTGCCCATATGCTTTGCGTTCTAATGCGCCCATGTGTTTTGGCTTATAAATTTGTTGACAAAATGAGTTCTTTTTTTTCACCCATTTTCCTTCTTTTTAAAAGATTTTTTTTTGTTTCTATGTGTCGAGTTTGATCTTAGGTCAAAATTTGTAGCGGTTTAGTCAAGTATGCATGTTCGATCGACGGGACTTTTTTCGATTGTTTGGTTCAAAGAATATAGATTTGAAAAAAAAAAAAAAAAGAATAAAGCATTACACTTGTTATAGATTATTTGTTTGTAAAGGGGAGAACGACTATACTCGTGGATAATAGAATTGGTAAGTATTCTAGAGTTGATGTAACAGGCCCGTTACGTATTACTATCAGATTTTAAAATACGTCTGTTATGGAAAGGTTTACACACCCTTTGATTTCTAATGGGGCCAAAAATTGTGATCTTAGATTTCAGTTCTTTCCACACTCGTAGAGGTGGGGAATTTCATACCAGTAGTGCACATAGAATCCACTTGCTTTTTTGGGTGCCATCAATTTCATATACATTGACCCATAACTTAATACATTATTGACAGTGGAGACCTCAATCCAGCCCAAAACAGGTCACTCAAGTGGAAATCGTTGAGAAGATCGAAGGTGACTGAAGCCAACCAAATTGCTCTCGAGTCGCACGTGTATGTCACCCATGTCATCCAAACGCACACATATGCCACCAGCCAAATTATCGAGACCCAACATTAAATTACTTAAACTTACTTACATTATCCGGAAAAAAATACACAATATTTGGACATTACATTGTTTCAACCGGAAAAACTTGAAGATTCAAACTTTTGACTTTTTAGTCAAACATATATATATATATATATATATACATGTATATGATCGATTGACTTATGTTTAGATGAACGAAGATCCCGATAAAAAGAAATATTAATGTAATGAGAATCGAAATGGAGTAATTTTATTAAGAGAGAGAAATTGCAATATACATGGTGGGTAGATAGATAAATAGAATGTTGTAGAAAGCATCAACTATAGTTCTTGGAATTATAGCTGAGCTGATGATCTTGAATATGGATATCAATCCCATCAAACTTGTAGCCCAAGAGGGGAAGTATCCAAGCCTTTGGTTTCAATGCCATCCTTAACTTCAATGGCTTCCTTCTTGTAAATATACCTACTTGACACCCAAACAAACACTCCCAAATTCACCGTAGATATCACCAAAAGAAACCCATAGTAGTAATCCAAATGAGACTCATTCAAGTTGTTCCCAATCCAGCTCTTGCCCCCGTTTTCTCCCGTGATTTTATCGACCACCGTGACCAGAAAACTGTTGAGGAAGTTCCCGACTCCGATCCCACTTGTGAAGAATGTAGTTCCAAGGCTTTGCATGTGTTCCGGGGATTGGTCGTAGAAGAACTCGAGCAACCCGATTGCGTTGAAAACGTCCGCAATGCCAAGGAGGATGTATTGTGGCAATAGCCAGAGGATGCTCATGGGGACTACTTGTTTAGGATGCACAATATGGTTGGTTTGGATTACGTGCATTCTTCGAACCTCGACCGCGTACGCAATTGCAATGGCTATGATTTGGATGACGAAACCGATGCCTAGCCTTTGGAGTAGAGTGATTCCTCTAGTGTTTCCGGTTTTTCGACGCATGAACGGGACGAAGTAGTGATCGTATATCGGAACCGAGATGAGCATGGAGAGCGTGACAAAGCTGCCAAGGGAGGCTGCTGGGATTTGGAAGCCATGGGAAAGAGTTCGGTTTAAGGTGGTGCCTTGTTTGACAAAGAGGGTGTTGATTTGAGCCCAAATGGTGCTTGGGACAAGGGTGGCTAACCAGATTATGATCATGCCTAACACCTGCTTGGTCCCTTCCACTTGAGTCACCGTACATTTCCGACTTGACGAATTTGTGTCATCTTTGATTGCAGCTCTGTCCAAGAATCTACAACCAAATCAAAGCACAAAATTAGTCGAACAATCGTAGATAAAAGATTCAAACATCTTACGTATTGATCAATAATATATATCTGGATCAGTTGAGTTATTGTCAAATTGGTTGAAGTTACCGTCCAACGTGTTTCATTTTTAGTGATGTGAATATTGGAGTGTTGGGCATGGCATTATGGAAAGGGAAAAGAGTTGGGTGTCATTGAATGCGGAGGCTTTGTGCGCCCACCATGATGGTGCGCACTTAGTGAAGGTTGGAAAAATTGAAACGGGTGGTTTGTGTGTGTGGGGCGGCAGAAGGGGCTGAGGATGACTAGCTGTGTTGCTTTCTTACACAAACCCCACTTGGGGTAAGTGAATGCGACCATTCCCAAAGCAAAAGATCTTTCCTAATATGCACAAACTATAACGCTCTACGTTGTTTCGAAACCTAAATTCGATACTTGATGACTTTGACATTTTCCTGTAACAAGGTTACGTTACTTATCCTACAACTTTAAGAGTACAAGATTCGATTGTATTTTAGTATCCGTTCAAATCTAGATTCGATACTTAATGGTCCCAACATTCCCCTACGTAGGAGTAGATTTAGTGTCAGATTCTAGACAATTATAAATTGACGACTACGTCTTTGAGACTCGTACGGTTTTTATTCATTATTCAAGTATTTAGGTGGGCTATGTTCGAGCCACTAGTGTCTTCATTTTCGAATAATTCTAAATTATTTTTATTTGAAAGAAGAGTATTTTATTTATTTATAAAGTTATACATTCATAATTTAGTTTTTATTTTTATTTTTTAATTATTAGGAATTTATCATAGGGTCTTGTCTACATCCCGAAGGGACCCCTCTAACTATCGATGCAGGATAACCCAACAATCTCTCTCGATCTCACCTAGTTGATATCACTTCTTAATGTCATTGAAGGGCTACCTAAACGTCTCTCGTATTTATAGACCATAATAAAAATTAGATTATTATCCTACTTACCACCATTAAATTTTTTTATCTATAAAATATAGATATATACTGGTAGAAAAAATAATATATATACCTGAAAATGGGAGTATGCTCGACCTGCCTTCTTCCTCCGGCGGCGGCGGCGTTACGGGAGTAAGTGTGCAATTCCAGCTCATAAAGCTCAGCGGAGGTTGGCGGAAGCTGGAGGTTCCGGTTCCGAAAGGCGGTGATGGGGACCTGAATGAAGTCCCGAGCCAGGGTGCGAGATTTGGTAACCTTGTGCCTGTAAAGGGGAGTTCCGAAGTAGAAGATGAGCAGAGAAAAGAGAAGGCCGACGGTGGGAATCCCATAGCCGAGGCCCCACCCAAGGTTGTCTTGGATGTAGACAAGGCCGAGTGTGGCAAAGAGAGCGCCCAAGAATGAGCTGAACATCCACCAATTGAAGAACGATACTTTCATCTGCTTCTCCACTGGATTGAAGTCGTCGAATTGGTCCGCGCCAAAGGTAGAGATGTTCGGTTTCGTGCCTCCCGACCCGACCGCTATGGTGTACAGAGATATGTAGAAGAAGGCTACTTGTGATGCTGTGGCTTTGCTGCATATCCCATTGTTGCACCTTGGTTTTAAGCTCTTTACTGACACTGCCATTGTTAGAAACACCATTCCCTGTTGTTCGTTACCCAACTAACGCGTTAAATCACTACTCAATCCAAAAGCTTAACCTAATATATTAAAGTAACTATAATCTTTCATCAATATTCTAAGAGTCTTTCTAAATTTTAAAACACTATCTATTAAAGAGAGGTTTCCACACCGTTATAAGTAATGTTCTGTTCCCTCCCCAACAACTGATTGAGCTTATTATTCTATTATTACTACTTTTTTTTTTGGTGTCGAGGAACGATCATTTATGGCTCGGCTTCAATAATACAGTTTCGTATTGAATTTCTCAGTTGGAAATTCGAGTTTTGAGGTTTACCATGACGTAGATGAGAGATGAGAAGGTGAAAGTCCAAAAGCGACCGAGGAAAGAATCAGCAATGTAAGCGCCAAAGATGGGAGTAAGCCATACGCATCCTGACCAGTTATTGACATTTCTAACCGACGAGACAGTGTCTTCGTGAAGTTGAGTTGTCAAATAATTCACCAAATTCGAAGCTATACCATAAAACGCCATCCTTTCAAACGCTTCATATCCTGAAACCAAGAACAATTCCCACTTCAATTCCTATACAAAAATTAAAAAATAAGCACTTTCTAAACCGAATTCTCAAAATCTGGCATCGATCAGAAAAAGAAAAAGATAAGAATGATGGTATTACTACGAGTACCGTAGTTTTCAAATAAAATCAATAGCCAAATTTAAATTCATCGATGTATTGTGTTTAACCGTGGTAACCCGCACGTACCTACAAGAAAAGCACAAGCTTTCCATTTGCCAGTGTTGGAGGCAAGAACAGGGTGGCCACGAAGATCCACAGTGCCATCTTGGGTGAGGTCCTTGGTCTCCATTAAAGAAGGCAAGCAATAAGAATGAAGGTGGTGAAGGATATGTGTGTTATAATGCCTATAAATAAGGTGGGAAGAGCATAATAATAAAGGACTTCATGGCTTTACTTACACGTATTAAGTAGTTGAAAACTAAGTGTATTATTATTATTATTATTAGTGGTGTAGTTTGGTTCATGGAGAGTTGGAATCTTATGGACCCCTTTCCAAAATGTTGACTCAAAAATGGGTGGGTCTAGATTCAACCCACTTTTATTTCACCACCTCAAACACTGATGGCGACTGCATGTAAACCTTGGTGTCATCCGAATTCACACTGGATTAATATATATTACTCTAACGGTTCAAGTTCACTGCACATATTATCTACTTTAACCTGTTAGGTATGGCTATCGGCCTCATAGTTTTAAAATATGTTTATTAGAGAGAGGTTTAACCCTAATAAAAAAAGATTTCGTCTCTTTATCTGATGTGGATCTCACAATCCACCATACTTGAAATCTTAGCGTTCTTTCTCAAAATCCACAACCATGAGAAACTATGACTAATGGGCACGTGGTAAATGGATATACATACGAGAATGGAGAGGCAGGTAACTTTCTACCGTCTCTCAGCTCATTTGAATTCTATAAGTATTGTCGTATTGTATTTAACCATTAAACTCGAACACTCGAATGGTAAGTTTTGGATAAGTTCTTTCTCAAAACGTCTCCATGATAGTTTTTTTTTTAGGAGTATAGGAAGGAAAGTGAGTCGGGTTTGAAGCCTACTTGCATGTGACTAAATCAAAAGAGGGGAACAAAAAGATATGCAACTTTTAGGGCAAAATTTCTTTTTGTTACATCATTCTTTTTCTTACTAGTTGTTAGTCAACGTTCGGGTGATAAAATATTGCAAAAGTGTCATCATACAGTGCATCAACAGTCCAACCCCACTACCGATAGATATTGTCATATTTAACTTCTTTTTTTTTTTCTTTTGGGCTTTCACACGTTTATAAATAATGATTTGCTCCTCTTTCTGACTGATGTGAGATCTCACAATCCATTCCCCTTCAAAGTCCAACGTCTTTGCTAGTACTCGTTCTTCTCTTTCATCGACGTGCGATCTCATAATCCACCCCTTTTAGGGCCCAACGTCCTCGCTGACACCCGCGATATCAAATCCATAGAGATTTTAGAAAAAAAATATATATATATCTTTTATTGAATTTTAAATGAATATATATTAATTTATATAAATTAGAACAACAAATATGATATTTGGTAGTCACATTTTTTAAAATTCAAATTTGGTAAAATTAATGACAAAAAATGAAAACAAAAAAAGAAAAAGGCACGTGACGAGAAATTAAAATCATAATATTAAATTCAGCAGCGCCTCCCCGTATCCCTTGCCGCCCTCCGCCGTCTCCTCCGTCACGTCCACATGTCATCCGCCGCAGATTCTTCCACCTCTCCCAAACACTTTTTTTTACTCTAAATATCACATATTCCTGAACATTGTATTATTTATTACGATGTATCATATTTTTTATAATAAAAATTATTCATTCAAAAACTCTTTAAAACAAATCTTTTTCAAAAATATTAAAAAAAAAATGATTATTCAAGTGACCAGTGATTAGGACACTTACTTCGATTAAGTCTGAAAGAATGATAATACAATACCATCAACTTTTCGTTCATCATTCTAACATTTTTTTTCTACTCTAACGGTAAAGTTTTGAATTAGTTTACGGAATTTAAATGATTCTTTTAATATTATGAAACAAGTCGAAGTTAGAAAAGATATAATAATAATATGTTCGAGGATGGATAGGGAGGCCCATAAGACGTTAGAAAAGCCAATAATTTGGGTTGCATTGGAGCGAGGGAAGGCAAGTAATTGGTAGGAATGGCAACAAATTGAAGGACCCTCAATCAATAGTCACCCTATGGCTATGTGTAAATGGTCCAAAAAGGTGTGTATTTATCATAACTTGATCATGTCTTGAAAGCAACATAGCTTTGATACCAAATTATCTACTTGCCCCACATACCCAAAGATTCTCTCAACCTTGTAGAATCAAGGGGACAAACTTATTTATTATTCCCTCATTTTTCTATTAGGGTTTTGGTGGGTTTCGAATAATTTGTCGTTGCAATCTATGATCCACGCACCACTGTTGCAAAGGAGTGGCTACTGAGGCTCGCTGCTTTAGAAAGTTAGAGAGCATCCTCAATTAAGAAGTTAAACCATCTCACGGTCTAATTTAGCATCCTTGTGTTAATTTAAGGAGAATTCCCAGTATTTTGGTTATCTTTCCACTGGTTGAGTGGGTTCTTATAGGATCTTGGTTTAGTTTAGAGGATGGTTCAATATAGGTGGGTTAGGTCTTCTACTTAGACTTGATTTATGTGAACTAGACGCAACTTTTGGCATTAAATCCATCGCTAGGAAGAGACTTTCACACCTTTATAAAGAATGTTTCGTTCCCCTCTCCAGCCGATGTGGGACCTTACAATAAGATAATGTCACGTGTCATCGTTTCGCTTTGAAAAAGTACAAAAGTTTTGGAATATAGATCCAATTGTATGAGAGGAACGAGGGAAGGAAATTAATGGATCCAGCCAATCTCCGTACAAAATTGGGTTAGGATTGGATCAATTATGTTGGGTGCTCGAGTTAGGTTAAGAGGCATGCATAGCGACTTGACAATGCCAAATGACTGCTCTACCAGGGAAGGGATCTTCCCATCTCACCTCAACTTTTGTCTTTTTACAACCTATTTTTGCCCAAATAAGAAATTTTGGCAACAATATTCATTTGATACCGACTCAACTGATATGCGACATGTTTAACCCCCGAGCTATGAAGGTACGAGCTTTTCTACTCGAGAACAATGCAGAAAAGAGAAGATGGTAGGATTTTTGGGGAAATATTTTTGTCGAGCATCCTTTATGGAAGTTCCCTCAACACGTTTTTCTCTGTAGAACAAAGAAGAATCAAAGCTACGGTTTAATGTTTTTACTTAGATTTTGACATTTAAGAATGTCGATAATTCTCATATAAGCGTTGTGGTAGCAAATGATAAGCGTGCATGGCTAGAAATGTGAGACAAGCCAAACTACAAACAAGCATTGATATAATGTATAACCTTGTCATACAAACAAGCATTGATATAATGTATAACCTTGTCATGCCCTCCATGGTCTTCTTGCTAGACAATAGGAACATCGCATAGCCTTTCACGTTAATTCAACGAGCAACATTCCTTGAAGAGTGTAGAAACCTCTTCCTAGTAGACGCGTTTTAAAACCGTTAGACTGCTAATGATGGACTTAGGCTATTACGTCACTGATAAAATCATGGTTAATCTTTGAAGCCTCAACTTTTTGAGTTTAAGGGAAGATAATTCTTGTGGGCTTGTAGGAGGGAGAGTTACATGGGGAATATTTTAGCTTTCCTTCAAGGCGGCAGCAGCATCTTTATACAACATAAACCATGCCCACTTCAAGAAGAGACACTGGTGGCACCTTAAGTGCAACATCTGCGCCTCTGCAATTCCTTCTCAGAAAGTTGTAGCCATAGTTAATAGCCAGCCTCTTCAACACAGACGATCCTTGCTTCGCCCGCACGTGCGAATGCCCGAGAATGAACGCTGTCCCAGATTGCTGTGCTGCTACAAGGTCTTCTAGCTCTTCATGCAGCAAGGCTTCTGTTTCAGCTTGTGAGTCACCTTCAAAATCATCATCATCTATAGCAAACCTGACTCTTCGTTCTTCTCCCATTGGCTCCATTTCGATCACATCACCAATGCTATCGACAGTTTGGAACCCGACCGATACACTTCCAGGTTGCACAGTTTCTTCATAAGCAGTTGCATCTGCAAATGCTATGGTTCCAATCACAGCCAGTCGACACTCGCCCGTTGAGTCATTTGAATGGGATGCATCGTCCTCGCTGCAAGAGTTGCCTCTTTGCTTTCTGTACCAATCATAACGGATGAAGTCTGCCAGTTTCTTGACTAATTCCGATTCAAATGAGTCCACATCCTGGTGAACATCACGGTAGCCATATCGAACAATGCACCTGTACGACCGATGTGTAGCTGGGCCTACTCTTCCGACGAGATATCGCTCAGCTGGAGGTACAAAAGGAACCGGTACCGACTTTATACATACAAAGACAAGAATGCGATGAAATGCCGGGAGGTTGGTGACAAACCGGGAGAAGTTGGCAGGGATGCCTGAGGTAAGATCAGTGAAGACTAATCCAATGCCCGGGACACGAGCAATCCCAAGGCTCGGCCCCAATGCTAGTAACCATTCTAATGAAACCTTGTTGTGAAGATCAAATTCATACTTCTTGATGGTGGCAAAGTGCCATACAAACATAATGGTCATGAGGAAGAGAGCTAAAAGAATGGGGAGCCAAGCGCCCTCCCTGAACTTGGTGAGTGAAGCAGAGAAGTAGAGCAGTTCAACAGATCCAAAGAAGATCAAGAAGGAGAGAGCCAAAAGTGGGGATTTGTTCCAACAGAGAACAATCACCAAAGATGTAAGACATGTTGTCACCAACATCACAGTCATTACAGCTAGACCTGCAAATAAAAAATAAGTGGCTAATTGCTATCAGATCTTTATGGTTTAAACCATACTTTTTAAACGTTTGAGGCAAACGGAGGTCGAACAGAGTAGGACTCTGCCTCAAGAGATGGGGCAGACAACTCAGAACGGGAAGTATGTGAATAAGAACTGTTGAGGATTGTTGGGAGGGAGTCCCATATTGACTAATTTAAGGAATGATGATGATTCCTTCTCCATTGGTATGAGGCCTCAACGCCACGAGAGATAATGCTCAAAGTGGACAATATTATACCATTGTGGAGGTTCGTGGTTTCTAACATGGTATCAGAATCATGCCTTTAACTTAGTCATGTCAATAGAATCCTCAAATGTCGAACAAAGAATTGTGAGTCTCGAAGGTGTAGTCAAAAGTGACTAAAGTGTCAAACAAAGGGCTTTGTTCGAGGACTCCAAGGAGTCGAGCCTCGAT